TACAGTGATGTAGCGACAGGTATGGAGTGGGCGGAAAACTGATTATACTGTGAGTTTTGAGTGCGAGGTTAACGTCCCCATCCAAAGTGAGAGCATTGCCTACCAGAGGATTTGCTCTTCAGGATAATTAGTATGTGTGGGGAGGGGTGGGGTGGGGGGCAGCTGTGTTACAGATCCTTCTGCTTGAAGTTCAGAACTAATACTTATGTAATTTTCTTTGAAGAATAATCACCTGTTCATAACAACACCGAACAGCGGGATACAGTCTGACTCCCATCATATTCTACTTTGAGGTTTGTTTTCATCGTGCACGTACCAGGCTGCTACTCCAAATGATGAATATAGATTTGATGCACGCCCTAATTTAATTCAAATCGAATACTTTCGTTTCACTTGCTATTCATTGGTCTCGTTTGACGATAGTTCTTTCTGCCTGTTTGCGTAGTGACTGCAATCCTATCGCCTGATAGTCTCTTCCATGAAACCTTTGGACAAATTGACAAACGTCCCAGTTAACATAAAACATCGCAGTTCTGATTTGTTAGAAAAAATCTATCTGAAAGTTTCATGCTCAAAATCAAGGCGTTCGACAGTTAATTACACACTCGCGATGTCAAGTTGTTTTGCGAAAAAAAAACGTGAAACATGTTTCAACAATTCACATTTCATAAATTCAGTTCTCTTTAGAATTTCATAAGAGCGAGAACATGCATCATCACCTAGAACCGGGTTGAACTCAACTACTTCGCATTAGCTCTTCAGTTGTGTGTACAAACATTCGCGTGAAAGTTCGATCAGGACAATGACAAATCACATCAAATATCCAAAACACTCGATTAAGCAAAATCAATGCGGAGGTCAAAAGTGACCAGCACACACTCGGGTTGAACGAAGGGAGACAGTGAGAGAACATGGTTGTTGATCGGAACCATGGTGACAGACCTGTGCATGGTAGATTGCAACGGAGGCTTTTATTGAGCTGGTCAAAGGGTTACTCGCTTCTGCCTGGTCGAATTGTTGCATCAAATGGTTTGCACACTTGGAACTGTTCACGAACGCTGGTGGAGGATATTTGGAGAAATTGTAATGCATACGTTTGTCTAATAAAATAAAACTTTTGTGCATTTGTAAGCCCTTTGCTTAACTTTTCGTATTACATTGAATATTCCTATTATGAGATTAAGAAAACACTGCAGCGAACAAAACCCCGTTTTCGATAACTTCTTCCTGGCCCCTTACTACAGATATATAAATGGAGTTCAAAATTTTCAAACTAGTAAAATGGTCTGATGTGATGAACTTGATTGGTGGATTGTGATCTTGTGATATGTGGTTTGGAAGTGAAATGAACAGATCTTTGTTGCTGTTGTTGTTGTGTTGTTTGAAAATGTTCACACTCAACTGATTGAGCGAGCCGTTCCGATTCTGGTCCGCTCCCCTGAGTCATGTCAGAGGTCACGGTTGTTTCGGTCCGCTGTTTGCTTGAGGCAAAGTGACCGAATTCTTATCCTGGCCTCAACCTGACACAGCCAACCAAATCGATCGAGGATAGAGTTATTGAAAACATGCTTTTTTTCTCAGGAATGATGCTTTCAGTTCATGTTAGTTTTCCAGTATAAATTCGAACGTATTTCCCAAGCTCACGCGCGACACGGGGAAAAGTGCAAGAGAAAAATAAATGGAATGTATGTTTCATCTTCATGAAGGAACACTCTAGTGTTCAAAATCAAACAGCGCGTCAATTAATCAACCAATCAGAAATTGCGATTAACTGGTGTCGATATGAAAGAGAGCAAGAGAGTTCATTGATTAATATGGTGTGCACGTGAGTGAATTTGATTGTGTGTGTGCTTGTTTGTGAGCTTCTGTTTTCTTGCGTTTGTCCAAAGGACAGAGCCCCCCCCCGTGGATTCAAAGATGAAGTTTGTTAATAGCTCTGAAGGAAGTAGCCAACAACAATTCGACTGTATTCATCTTTTTCTACTTCGCTGACTCATAGCGCTTCAATCACACAAGCTCGTCGGCGTTTGTCACTCAACTGTCTCGATTGACTGTTCCGGTGCACTGGCAGTGCTCTGTTTTTTCTCCACAACCAAGCCGGGATCTTTCACTTCCATGGTCCGGGAGGTTAACTGGATGGTCGAATTCACCTTGGCCACTGCATTCGTCAGTGTGGCATTCATCAGGACACGGGCACTGCTCAACGCTTTCTGCGCATATTTGGACATGGTACGCGAGCGCGCTTTACGTCTGGCCGACCGATGCATCTGTTTGACCATGGCCAACTGATCTGCATGGTCATAGTACAGAATAAAGTGATTCACCAAGATGGGAATAGTGTACGACATGAGCAGTGTGCCCGTGATCACACAGACCATGGCGACCACATAGCCCACGGTGTGTGTCGGGACCAAGTCACCATAGCCCACGGTGGACATGGTGATCAGAGCCCACCAGAATCCGCGTGGCATATTGTTAAAATTGTCATCGGTGAAATAGATCGCGGCACCGAAAAACAGGGCACTTTCCAGAATGAGAATGACAATAATAAACATGTCCAGGCAAGTAGTTTTGATGGTGTACAACAGTACCCGTGTTCCGCGGTGCCGACGAAGGACACGGAATAGTCGGAGCACCACAAACACTTTCAAAATCACAATATAACCTTCAATATTCATGAGTGAGACTAGCCAATCGTTCGAGTTGACAAACGCTTTGAAATAGATCATCTCATACAGGATGAGTTCACAATAGAACGGGACTAGGGACAGGATATCAATCAAGGTGTACAGGGAGCACAACCATGGCCTGATTGCCGGACAGAAAATCATCCGGGCCAACACATCAATGGTGATTGTGATGGAGAAAAATATATCCATATGCACGATCGATGGGATCGGTAGACTGACACTGGTCTGATTTGTGCGCACATCCACGTCGACCTGATTCATCAGGGCCGCGATCGGGGCATTCGAGTTATTTTTCACCGGGATTTTCGCGGCACCTCCGGTTACGATTGGAACGCGAAACTGATCGACCGTGGACAGCATGAACACGAGGACCGCGGAAGTGACAATCAGTGTCTCGTAGGTCACATACAACCTTCTGGCCCAACGAATGATTGTTTTCTCCCGTTTCGACAACGAATTGATGATAAGTCGGGGTTGTATGGCAAGCAGTTGGCTCATGCCTTCACCGGATTGAAGTGGCATTCGAAGGGATTGGGTTTGTGATATCCCGTTGGGTAGATCACGGGATATGTCTCGACTTGTGGTGGCTGTCGTATTCTCATTGTCATCATCTTCATACTCGAATGTGGACGTTTTTCGAGATGGAACATCGAAACGCGAGGAGATTGAGAACGCATTGCTCTCGATACTGCCACGATGCTTCATGGTCGATTGTTGAATGATTCGGGGAGCCACGTCGATCACTTGCCACACTTTGGCGCGGAAGGCTTGCCATCTGGGAGATCTGTGTTGTAAAAAGAACGAGGTATACAAAAATAATGAAAACGACTGATTTGGGAAAGAAACATGCCATTGGTTTTAAGTGCACATGCAAAACTGGAATCAGAACAGTCTGATCACCAGCCACGGATGTCGTTCTACCCCATTCCCCCCCTCACCTTTTTCTCTTATGGTGTGGCAGAGTTACCCAGGTTGATCACAGTCACTTTGTTGCACAAAATTGACTGCTATAAAAAGGGAAAAGCTATAATCCGAGCAGAATATTGAGGCTTATCGACCGTTTTATCCTATATCAATTAAAATGTGTATCCAGCGATTCACAAACCAGAAGGGTTGTGTGATCCCGACAAGTTTGAAGTGAGGATTGTATGCGAAATGCGGACATATTTGTGCCAAATGCCAAACGACCGCTTTGTCTTCATCCAATGTTAGCATCGCGTAAAGAATATTTCTGGATTCGCATGCAACGGACAGTGAATTTCATCTCATTGCACAATCTCATTGGAGTCTACTAAAGGTTTGTGCACCCACCCGATTTAATTATCCGTTTGATTTTAGAAAAATACAATGAATCGACAAAACAAATTTGTCAAAAGGGATGACAGAATCGAATACTCTCGCTATCAGAAAAGATGAGCCGTATGTGAAACTAAAACGGGTTGACCGTCTATAAGCTTTTGCATCATGTGACGGTTTTGGTTGTTGTTGTCTTTTGGTGATTTCACCAAGTTAACCGTCGTAGTGATCCAGCTAACTACCACCCTGTATCATCTATCCAAAGTCGTGAAATTCATTGTTGCAGACAATATGGCGTTATTCATTTGCCCTCAGAATGTGCAGCATTTGGAATCCTCTACCACTCCAGGTTTCCGCTGCACCCACCGTTGGTTTTTCAAGCACAAACCGGGTGAAATATCCGTTGCAGTACATGAAACAAAGAAAATACGTGTCATTGTTCATCTCTCTATGATCGCTAAATTGATCCAGTTGCACGAAAACGCCTGTGGGACAAGAAAGGCGACCGCTTGTAAGTATTTCCCACAATAAAACTTTGACTGATTCAATGGTTTTCCCAAACGAGGAGACAAGTTAATCCACTCCCATCAAAATCTTCTGGTCGACGGTTTTATGCTCTCGTGTCAGATTTTCGGTTGACTATCTTTAATTTTCTTTCACTAAATACCTTCCAAGACAATGAACGCACACGGAGAACGCCTACGGGTGGCTTGCTTCACATATGCCACAACCAATGGCAGTTGCGTTTCCACTCAGTTGGGCAACCGCAATTACCCGAGACTCTTCATCTAACCTCGTTATTGGTTACTCAATTGCCTCACCAAACTTGTTCAACGTGGTGTAGACAACGTTTTGTTCGAACATCATACATCTGTATGTGTCCTATCTGTTTGTCTATCTCGTAATTTTATCTCGTTTTTGACATGAAAAAATAAGATTTACCGTGACTTTCATCATCTCTCCACATTCGAACCGGTGCCGGTTGAGTCGATCACTCTGGGAATAATCATATTCCTTAATTTACTGCAAAATGTAGTCATGTTACAGATTTGAGCACTAGGAGGCAGTCAGTAACAAAAATTATTGTAATTATTTTTAATACATAATTCTTCTCGTCCCGGTAGTGCTTTCTAAATTCATAACAGTATCACTAATAGCGTTGTGAGGGGCTACTCACACATGTGAGTAGTTCGTAAAAAGACACTTCTGGCGGCTCCTTTCAACGGTAAAAATTGAACAATATTTGTTGGAGTAAATTGCTGCTATTCAGTATGGTGAATAGAAGAATGCGCATCTACCGTTTCATTAACTATCCTGTGTGTGCATGTGGGAATTCCGAAAACTCGTTCCAAATGAGATGTTTTGTTGTACAAATGGCAATTTACCGGTACCCCGTGATTGTTATTCGTAATAGACAACTTTCCTCGACCGGGCACCGTCTTTTGATTTTTAGAATAGTAGTAGCAAGAACGTAAACGATCTAGTATCGTAGATACATACCCAACGCTCGGTTGGTGGTACCAGGTGCCAGGATTAGACCACCGATTGGTATATGGTTGTCGCAAAAACTGAAAGTAAGCTACGCAAATCTAGATCAATGCGAGTGCCAATAAAAGAGGGGGAGGGGTCAACGCTGGGGTACTTCATAATAATTTAAAATAATTAGTTTTCAGATGGACATAGGAGAATTACGTTAACCGAATGAAATTCATTTCATTACTGGTGATTAAGCTTATAAACTGCCGACTAAAAAACCTCTCACGATTAAATAAAACACTCAAATGCTGCAGTGCGGCAAATTTTGCTAAACGTTCTCACATACTCCCGTCGTAAAATTATCACTAGCCTACCGGGGGCGGGGGTCAAACCCACATCATGAATACTAATAGCTCATCTGTTTAGCGTTTATCTTTGCGCCTGTGCCATAAGATTTTCACATCCACATTTCAATTAGACGCGATAAATAATAAGCCCAATATCAGTTGAAACTTCGGGGAATGGGTTGGGAAAAGCAACGGCTCATCGGTTCGTTTTCGAGCGGTCCTATCTAGCGAGCAACAAGAGCCAACCACACGGATTGTTATTTATCAGGTTTGTCAGGCCTATTTCAATGAAAATAACGTACAAAGTTGATTGCTTCTATTCGGGAACAAATAGTAATTTTTCAAAAACCATTGTTATCTGTTCATTTCATTCGGGTCGGAACTTCAAATCCTTACCCCTGAGCTACACGGTCGACGGTCATCATCTTGTGCGAATGGCTCAATCAATTTAGAGTATTAAGTTTAGACTAGCCCGTTTGATTGTTTAGAGGTATCAGGCACTCTTGATGGTCTTGGGTGTGAGTCCCGACAGGGACACAAAAGGTGTTTGTACTGTTGACGAGTCCGAAACAGCTGTCCAGTGCTGCTCTTTGTCCGTAATCACAAACATTTTCCCATTACATTTGAATGCAATGTTGATTTCTCTTTCGAAATATCATTCATGTTTTATTCAAAGTCAGCTCTGGCGAAGTTGGATTTCTCTGACCAAATTTCTCAATCTTGGGTTCAGTAAACTCTAAATGAAATTCAATCAAGTCACATTGCACGAGGGATGAGTCAAAAGCTCTCGGATACGCAGTACACGACGATTATACGTGGTACAGATGACCGGGGCAAGGAAAACATGAACTGAAATCTATTCGGAATATTGTTCAGTGATTGCAACTCACACAGAATCAAATCTCAACAACAGCCGAGAGCACAGCTTACAATAGCATTAACATCTTCAGCTCTTAAAGTGACTGAAAAGGCCATCCTCAAAGCCTTCAGCAGTCCATAAACATTCCCAGTGATCCGTTACTGTTTGCTTACAAGCCAAATAGATCCACCCTGAACGCAGTCTCTACCCTCATTCATTTCATCACTAAATCGTTGAACAGCTCTGTTATGTCTGTTCGGTGTGTTTTTCTCGACTACTCTTCTGCATTTGATTCCATTC